TTGAGAGTACATGGGAATCACCTCAATGTCCTCATTGAAAATGAAGATAACTTGACCCCACCCTAGCAATGCTGGTTAGGTAGATATTGTATGGGATATGGAAAAACTTTGAGTATTGCACATCATCTTCCTAGAAAAAGGTACATTTGCACCTACTTCCAGCTACCAGTGATTTTAAGGGAGGGTTTCAGAACCCTGTGGCATTAGTCAAGTACAATTTTTCTCAGCACTGGCTGCGTATTACAATCACCAAGGGAGTATAAAACAATATTTCAGACCAATTAAATCATAATATGAGTAGTATAGGGTGACTAAACTGTCTGCATCATTTTTTTCCCCATCCCAGAATGGAGACTAGAGATTTTTCCCAATGTATCAATCTATTTTACTGAATTAGACTCACTTGACAGATACCTAGCAAAAGTGATAATAAAAAGAAGCCCACTTACCCTATAAATCTTACAAAATACACAGTTTAATTTGTGTATTGGTGAGAAGGCACATCATTTTTGGCATTGATTTGTCTTTCTCTCTTCAAAGGTTCAAAGGATTTAGTAGACTTTGTATTCTGTTTGATAAATAGCCCTCCCAAGCTTGGGAGAAGAAAAGCCAGGCTCTTTTTATAGTTTATGGTGACAAGGTGAGTGCTTATTGTGATATTTTAGTTGAAGAAATTCTAAGAAAACATGCAGAGCTTCAAATTGGCTGTAACTTTAGTATATTTTAATATTTGACAAAAAGTAAATACTCATTATGAGTAAACCCAGAGAAATGGTTAAATGGGCAGTTTTGTTATCTGAGGAAAGTCTTTTTTTTATTCTTTTGATTAGGAACATATCATGATGAGCAAAGTAGTGGATGGAAACTTTAATTTAGTTACATTGATAAGGTTTAAAAAGTTTTTTTAGACTTCTGTATTTTAAGGAAGAGGAGACCTATAATCAGTGATAGAAAAACCATGTTGGAAATGACTATAATACAGCTTCTTTGAAGTAGATCCACTTATAATAATACTCATATAGACATTCAAAGCACTGGTAATAATAGGTGATTTAATGGTGTTTAAATCCCTTGAGTAAATTCATATAGGCCAAGAAATTTCCCCAAGGACATGAGTTTAATAATTACGATCATTTATTGTGCTGATAACTCTTGAGTTAGAATTTCTGCTCCAGAGACAAAGTTTGAGAAACTCAAATTGTGAAAATTAAGTGTCAGGAGTTTGGCTAATTCAACACATACATATGAGTTATAGTCCATTTGTGTATGAGAACTGGCTTCCAAGTAAGCAAAGGGCTGTTTTCTCAGCTCAGAAAGCTTTGTCTTTAAAATTGCTTGCTCCTAATGGCATGTGGCAGAGACTAGTTGAATAAAAAAAATTTTTTTCCCAGAAATTTTAGCTTTTGCTTTTACTGTTAAGGTGGGATTGTTAGTTTTCTTTGTAAAAAATCGAGATGATTTTCAAGCTTCTAATAAAAGCTCAGCACTTCTTTATTAGATTGTGGAGAAGGACTCATCAGAATTGTGAGGGTTTGGAATTTTGCCGGAATCCTTCATAGTAGGAGATATTGAAGTGTAATTGAGTTGTAGATGTGCTATCAGTTTAGGCCACTGTCGTCAGAGAAGCCAGCACTCCTGGAAAAGTGAGGATGGAGTTACAGGCTTGAGGAAAGATCCAGCCTTGTGGCGGACTACGCCAGCAATGGTGTTGCGTGCTTACTCTCCATCAACCCTACAAGCTGCTATGTCTTCCTGTTTCTGATCCTAACCACCCAGTGGGCAGGTCACCATTATCCCTGTCTTACAGATGAGGAAATGAGAGAGACAGGGTTCATATCCAGATAGCTCTGCCTCCTATGCCCCTATTCTTTCTGTCACGTCCTCTTTTTTTTTTCTGTCACGTCCTCTTGTTTCTATTCTATGTAATCCCTAAAATCCCTTGCTTCAATCCTGAAGTTTTTCACTGCATTGTGGGGAAATATTTGTAGCACTGGACAGCTCTACTCACCCAAAAGGCCATTCTCCTTTTGAGCTTACGTTCGCCTCCTTGTGACTTCCATTTACTGGCTCTGTGGGAGAGATATTAAGGATAGATGGAAAAGGGTAAGAAAAAAAAGCATTGAAGACCTGAAGGTAGGCTGGCATGGAAGCTGGAGAGAAGGCTGTGTGTCTGGGGCAGACAGGAAATAAGCACAGGAGGCTGTTCTATTTTCTCCTCTGAAATTTGAGTTTTCATTCTCTGATGGTGTGCGTGTGGCTGTCAAAAGACTGGGGTGTTCTATTATCCAGTCAGCAGGGGGAGCAGTGAACTCGAAGTGACATCCCGTAGGGAGAGAAAGGCCATCTACTCAGCACGGTGGTTTATGAGTGGGTGTTCTTATTCTGCCTGGCATTAATAGATTTCATTTAAAAAAAATTATTTCTCCTTTTTTATCCCCCATGCTGTTGATGGTTAATTAAGTCATTGGCCACCAAAAGCAATGCTGCACTAGAAAAAAGTCACTTTGGTGGCATTTTGTGTTTGTGAATTTCTTTAACTCTATAATGAATTGAAAATTTAAGGGTACCTTTCTGGAGTCCATGAGGATTGTTAATTCTGGCCAAAACTATTCTTATAGCTTGGGTTCAGAATAACAGCTCTGTTTGGGAAGAGCCAGGTGAGGAGGAGACATTTGATTCTGGGATGATTTAAGGTCTCTGAAGAACACATTCCAATTATTGTCCTTAGTGTCTCTTATAGTACCAGGAATTGCAGTCTCTTTTAGGTTGAAACTTTTTTTTTAATTTAAAAAAAATGTAATTAACATATGCATATTTTACCTAAAAAGAATAACTCATTAACCAATCTCCGTTATTGAGTTTGTTTCTATTTGTTTGTGGACAGGTGCACTTTGATATGCAAAGTCATGAAGCATCTGCCAAACCTTATTAAAACATTGGAGGGCTCACAGCAGGGAAGTGGAAGAAGGAATGACAAGCCTCTATTTTAATGTGGGTCAGTGGCTGGTTGGTTCTCTCAGGTCCTAGGCCAGGAGAAGTAGCATGTTCGAGTATGAGATCCAAGATAAGATAGGAGAGTCATATTTCAGAAAAGCCCAGAATTTATTAGATAAATAATACTGCTTTTGTGCAGTAGTTCATAACATATATTTTTTGGTCATGAGCCCTTTGAAGTATCTGGAGAAAGTTGTGCATCCCCTCCCAAGAAAAATGCATGTGCACACAAAATTTAGCATGCTATTTCAGCACTTCGTTGATGTTCTGCACTCCCCTGAAGCCCATCATGAATTCTTTTTTAGGGTACTAGTCTCTATAGTTAGGGGGTGGGAATGTGTATGCACCCCAGGGTGTGTATAAAATCATCCACCAGAGTATGGAATTTTCTATTTATATTTATTCTCTCTCTCTCTTTTTAAATATTTTATTTATTTATTTATTCATGACACACACACACACACACACACAGAGGCAGAAACAAAGAGAGAGGGAGAAGTAGGCTTCCTGCGGGGAGCCCGATGCAAGACTCAATCCCAGGACCCCGGGATCAAGACCTGAACTAAAGGCAGACGCTCAACCTCCAAGCCGCCCAGGTGCACCTATAGTCTCTCTTTTAAAGGTTTTCTTTTCCCTGTAGATTTTATGTTGCACATCATATGCGAGTTCTGTAGTATATAGCACTCGCATAACATTTATATATAAATAGATTACAAAAGTAATTGTAAGGGATCACATTTTTTACTGACAGGGAAGCATGACTCGAAAGTGATCGATTGGTATTTAAATTTTTTTTTTATTTATTTATGATAGTCACACAGAATGAGAGAGAGGCAGAGACACAGGCAGAGGGAGAAGCAGGCTCCATGCACCGGGAGCCCAACGTGGGACTCGATCCCGGGTCTCCAGGATCGTGCCCCGGGCCAAAGGCAGGCGCCAAACCGCTGCGCCACCCAGGGATCCCAATCGATTGGTATTTAAAGAGTGGTGCCAATGAAATTTAAATTCTAGGCTCTGCTCTCCCCACAGTGGAGGGCCAAGGATAGGAGATTAACTCAAGAGGTGACTACTGGTGACTGGAAATTTTGGACCTAGTGATAGCACCTAACATTTGCCCACACTTCATGAAGTCCATTCACAAATGTTCTATTTGTCACAGCAGAGCTGTGACATAGGTAGAGCAGGTGCTAATAGAAATCTCTGAGAGTAAGGTATGTTAACCAAATTCTTAGAGAACTTAAGAGACTTTCCCAAGTGCCCTTGGCTAGTCAGTGGTGGAGCTGGTGCAGGAAACCTCAACTGCTGACCACAAATTATGTGCTTATTTCGTCAAACAGCAGGGATAAGTCAATCATTATGGGCTGTCAATGGCCCCATGGCTGCAGTTACTGGTGCTTCCCTGTGGACGCTGAGTCGTTGAATCCCTGGCTGATCCAGATACAGGGATAGAAAGCATATTTTAGCTACTTGATCAGAGGGCCAGGAAGCCGAGCTAACAATTCAGCATTAGCTCTCTCCTGTTGGTACTGTAATACCAACATATTTCAAAACAGATAGAGGGCTCTGGAAGGGTTTAGATACATCTATGTACAAAAAAGATTTACAGTGGGTTATTAAATGGGAGTTTTGAGGCTGGTTTCTCAGGAAGTGCCAACCACTCGTTCTCCCAAATTTCCCTTGGTGCCACTGTCAAAGGCAAAGTACTCATCTAGATGGATTGTTGTTCTGACCCAAAACGACATTTCCAACTTTTCTTATATATAATCCAATTTCTGAACTTCTTTTTCAGTGATATTAAGTGGAATAGCAGAAAAAAAGTATTTTGGCATTAAAGATAATAAATGTGCTCTGCATTGGTCAGGTGTCCTTGCTCTTTGCCAGTGCATTAGCTGTATTGATTTTAGAATTTTAAATGACCCTTTTTACCAGACTTGATTAATGTCTTGTCCCCCGATCTTGGCTACCTGCTCCTTCCTTCTCTCATATGCAATCTTCTTCCCTCTCAGACTGGCACAAGTTAGAGACGGCTGACCTTCAGAGGATCAAGGGTCAGGAAATGTTGTGAGGAGGGTCCCTCAGGCCTGATGATTAGCCTCTATGGAGGGGACTGGTCGTGGAAGGATCAAGCCTTCAGCCTTTTGCCCAAGCCCCAGGCACATTCACAGTGGATCTTCTGGCTTGGTAAGTACCAGACTGTTCTAATATGTAGCTTCCATAGAAGAAACCTCTAGCCAGATAGAGGATTTGAAAGTGAAATGAGATCTGTGGCAAAAGCTGGCCAGCTAAGCCCAAATGTCACTGTTATTGCATGAAGCTAAGGTTAATTTTCTGAGATCCCCTCTCATTAATTAATAGTGTCCTCTGCTATCCTCAGAGGACACTTTGTTTAAAATTGCATTCACACATTATTTTATTTTCTCCCTGCACCTGAACTGTGGTGTCCCTGAGGATGTTGCTGCCTGGTACGTATGGCTTTGTGCACCCCTCCCTGAGGCCCCCTCAGTGTGGCCGGGTCGCAATGAGTGATGACTCTGAGGCTAGGCTTTTCCTTCTCTTTCAGAAGATGAGTGGGTGGGAGGTTGACCATCTTTCACTAGAGATGGCCACTCCTCAACCAGGATTGTTTTCAATTGTTCGCTGCTTCTTACTTTTCATAATATTTTAGGAGTTAATTTGTCATAAATGATAGAGGTGATACAACTACATTTCAGCAATTTTGGAAAATTGAGGCATAAAAGTCATTCCTATCATTACTCCATGAATGCACCTTCTCTTAGCATTTTTATATGCATGTTCGATGTATTTCTAATGACAATGTACTTGAATATTTTAAAGATTACAACATTCCATTCTAAGCATTTTTTGTTGTTTAATCATACTCATAAATGTCATTGGGGTATCAAAATGTATTTCACTATTTTCCTATTGCTGTCTATTAGACCAGTATTCATTCCTCATTAGTCTTGATTGGATATACCATCATTTATTTCCTCATTGTTATTTTTTTTATTTTTATTTTTCCTCATTGTTATTTATCAGATATACCACTGTATTTTGAACTATCTTCTTGTAATCCCACATTCATGATTAAATTATTAATGACTATTGGCTTAAGAAATCTGCCTATTTGGATTTAGTTTGACAAAGAGCATTATTAACATCTAGCATAGTGTTTGGCTCTCAGCTGGTACTCAGGAAACGTTTTCTTCTTCACTTTTGCCCTTTGTATGTCAACTTTCTTGGATTGTGTACCTGAGGGCATAACATGTTGAGGAAACCTAGAGATTTCTAACTGGCTATCATATAAGTTTGCCCTGGCCATTTCAATTACTAATTTGTAGGGAGCATTGGGTTTTCTGACTACAGGGGTTTAGTTTTCTCCCTGTCATTTGGTCAGGTATATTGACCCATTCTTGCCAGATAGAAAATGTTAGAGCTACGAAGTGCTGGCTGTGGAAATCACCACATCCAGCGGTTTCCCAATGGATGCACAACAGAATTTTGCAAGGTGCTTAAGAATACTGCTTCCTTACTAAATCTTGATTTGGTGGTTGGGGACTGGGAATCTGCATTTTAATAAGCATCCCTGTGTTCTGATTCAGGTGGTAGCCAGACCATAATTTGAAGTTACCATTTGGTTAATAGATCTTGGCAACTTTTTAGATTTAGATGTTAGATTTTCATCATGTTCAGTCTTTTGCTTTTAAAATTAATTGAATCTTGAAATGACTTATTTCAAGAGGCAAATATTACAATCACAATTATGTTCTGCAACAGGAAATAAGCTCTAAATGAATCTTAACATTTTACTTGACACATTACTATGTTTAAGTGTATTAAAGATGTCATTGAAAGGTGCAGGGGAGGAAAATGAACTTGATTTGGCAGGTAGGTGTTCATGGTACTATTATCCACAACTGTCTCTGCTGATTGACAGCACACACATTACCTCCTAACAGGCATTGTACTCAGTTGCATCAGATTTAAGTGTATGGCATTTTTTACTGAATATTTGAAACTGTTTTAGTTAATAGTATTAATTGTACATAGACCAACTTTCAGCCACTGTTTCAAAGTGCTTAATAGATAATATACACCAGAAGGTTCTGTGGATCTCCGCTTAGAGTAAACTTAGGTCTACGATACCATTTGCTTAAGTATTATGTATTTTGAGTAGTGCAAATGTTTTATCTTACTCCATATTATAGTTACAGAAATTAAACACAGAAAAGTGAAGTGCTCAAGGTCACTCAGCCACAAGGAGAAGTCAGAATTGGAGCTCAGATCTCCTGGGTCCTTGTTCTCTGCTCTTTCTACTATATCAAATTGCCTTTTTTGCATAGTTTCTATTTAATGAGAAACAGTCTAATGGCTGGTAGAGATGCCATAATCCATATTTATATTGCAAAGAGCTTCAAAGCAAGGAAATCTACTCGATATTTTCTTTTGGAAAACCAAACATGCTTTATTTAATTTTTTTCACAATTTATTTAAACATCTCACATATACAAAATAGGTACAATTAAATTTTTCTGCTTGTCCGAGAAATAAGGCTTCCTTTTGGTACCATGGGAGAGGATGAAAATGAGACTGGCAAAGAACAAATGCTGAATTTAAAGAAGAGGACAAGGTTGGGCAAGTGATCTGCATACTTTTATTTGGGAATAAGATGTAAAATACTGATGCTAAATCAAATGAAAAAAGAAGACACAATATAACTCATTACAGAGGATTATTTCTTCTCAAATTCTTCTAGCACCATCAACGTTCTTCAAGTATCTGAAATACTATTAGCACCTTTGTATTCTGAACAAACAAAACAAGTACCTCAGCTCATGTCATCTAGGTCAGCACCTAATGATGTGGATCACACTCACAGGAAAGTGTTTTGAGGTAGTTCTAAACCTTCGGAAGTTTGGGTTTTAAACTTCCCTCTGTGGAAGATATTCAAAAGCCACAAGTGGTGCAAATGTTCATGGTTTTTATTTTATTTTTCAATTTTTATTTTGGTTTTCTTACAAAGGTTGACATTTTCCACAACGGATGTAAGAGTGTTGAAAAAAAATTCCAAATCTTTGGGGGCAGGGAGGGGGAATGAATGAAATCGTATTGCACTATGCTCTGATCAATCCTTCTCCTTCTCTTTTGCCCACAATTTAAGCAAGTAGATGTGCAGAGGAAATGGAAGGACTCAACTCTCAGTTAAAAAAAAAAAAAGAAGAAAAAGAAATGGCAAGGAGAGAAAGTTTTTTCAGATTTCTTTTTTTTTTTTTAATTTAGGTTGAGTTCATTTATTTGAAACAGACTGGGCCAACGTCCACCCTGAATTCTTGGTCAGCATCACCGATGTCCAAAGGTGCAATATCAAGGATAGGCAGGCGGGATGGCTTATTTGTTTTGTATTCAATGATTGTCTTTCTCCATTCATTTGTCTTTTTCTGTTTAAAAAAGAAAAGAATATTTATAAAAAGTTGCATTATTCGTAAATCTAATATCATTAGAACTTTACATATTTAAGAACCATTTTGGGGCTTGTTCATCTGAAGTGTGTCCCAGATAAAAATATTCATCTTTGAGACAGAAGAATCAGGGGTATCTTTAGGGAGAGAGGTTTCCTACCAGTCTAATTTTTTTAAAGAAAATTTCAATACATATTCCATGTGGTTTATTGCTACATTATCATTTTTGGGATGTGTGTGTCATTAGGGAGAGCTGAGTGGGTACACTGTGAGTAGATTTTAATTTTTCTCCAAGGTATAAAATATTGTAGAGAAAAATTACATGCAGACCATACTAATAAGTAAAATAAAGTACATATAGCTATAAATTATACCTTGGGACCTTTTAACCCCAAGTAATTTTAAGTTATGGGCAGACAGCATCATTTAAAAAACTCAAGTTTAAAGAAAAACAGCTAATGCATGGACATGGTATATATTTCAGTATTTCAGAGAATTTTCAAAGGCAAGATCTGATAAGAATCCTCTTTAGCATCTGAATTTAAATAAATACATCTATGAAGTTAGATTGAGTAAATTTGGTCTCATTATCTGTTCATTCATTGGTTTAAGCTAGAACTCCACCCCCCCTTTTTTGTAAATAAGTGCTACTCCCAAATTTCACTATTACTTACAGAGCAGCCATCTACAAGAACAGTGTAGGTGAACCTGCTGTTGCCCTCGGCAACCAGTTCAACATCATTGGAACCTTGCAGAATGACAGCCTTTTTCAGGTTGCCAGTCTCCTCATCCATATAGGCAATGCTGTTCTTGCAGTGGTAGGTGATGTTTTGAGAGGCATGGTTGGCCAGCAGGCGCATGAAGGCGAGTTGAGTAGCCATTTCCTTGGTGGTTACTCCTTCAACATTATATTCAAACTACAGAGAATAAAATAGAAATGCTAGTTAAGTGGAGAAGGACTCAAATACTAAGAGTCAAAAGAGAGAGAGAGAGAGAGAAAAGGCTGGTATAGGGAAGAATGATGACCTCAGATCTGAACCTTGGGAAAAAGATACTTTTATAGGAAATGCAATTCACATGTCTTTGCAATATTAGTTACCTAGGAGGGACACGAGAACTACCAGGCTGAGGCAAGATAATCTCAAAATGGTATCTGTTTTAGTTAACCTTCTATATGTAGGTTTCTTCTTAGAATGAAAGAGAAATAAGACAGAGAGTCAGAACTCTTTCTTTTTCTGTGATTCCCACCAGTAAGCATTCAATAAAGTTGGTGAAAGATTTTGATTAAAAATTTGGAAAAGCACATGTCCTGAAAATGCATATGCATGAGCACAGGGTTATGTGCTGGCCAGTACTTCCTCATACTAAATGGCATTAGTCAGTTTCTCTAGTGGTTATCAGCTAAGTCAAATTTGAATAATAACTTTAGATTGCATGGATATGCCCATCAATCCATCTTTAATGCGAGGTCCAGGATAGAACTGAAACCTGAGCAAAAAGCAGGTTCTTTCAATAATCCCATTCTGGGAAAGGATTAAAATGCAGACCATTAAAAAGCAAGCAAACTTAACAATATTATTTAGTAGGAGAAGGAATGTTTGTAGGATTTCTCACCTGGGTACCATCATTGATAGTTTCTCCTAACCAGATGTGCTTCTTGACCTTGGAGTTTCTGTACCAGTTCTTGGCTGGGATGTTTTCAGGTTGAGCCCGAATGCAGGTTTCGCCAGTAGAGAAATCACAGTATACTTTGATAGCATCCATAGTGCATCCTTGGTTAGGATCAATCCAGTAGTAACCTTTAAAAAAAAAAAAAAAAGCCCAGCTCATAAAATCTCTCCTTGAGTGGAACATAGGTTCTAATAATTACTAGACAAAGAATTCTGATTCCCAGAAGTAACACAGTCTACTCCACATTTAACAGGAAGAGGTTGGCAATTTTCAAGATTAGACAGTTCCTCCTTTCCTCCTAAATCAAAGTATATTATCATGAAAAAGGCAAAAATATTTATTAAGAGAAGCCTGAGACTTGGTGCAGGATGGGAGAAGAAAATGCTTCATCAATCAGGTATAATTCCACCTAATGCAATTTTTACTCAAAATTTTTTCATTCTAAATGTCAGTGGTAAGTGACTTTGCAAAGCCTAGCTTGTGAGAAGGGCCAACCTGGCTTGGACATCTTGACTTACCACTGCTCCACTCTGGGTGGCTGAGTCTCAGGTCTCGGCATGTGCGAGCTGGGTTCTTCCTAGAGCCTTCAGGAGTAAGAAGGGTCTCAATCTGGTTGTTGAGGGATTTCAGAGTAGCATCAACTTCATAGTCCTTGGGTCTGAGAGAAGGTGGTGAGCGAGGCTGGTCAGCCCTGTAGAAGTCCCCTTCATAACCAAAGTCATAGCCACCACCACTTGGGCCAGGAGGGCCAGGAGGGCCAGGGGGACCAGGAGGGCCCTGCAAAGGTGAAAGGAAGAAAGAAGAGGTTTTGTATTGGGTCATAGGGAGAGGTGTCAATGACAGCAGACCTTCAGTTAAGTGTCACACACAGGCATATTCTAACAAGTCAAAAAAGAACCAAGTGTGTGTAAATAAATAATTGGATCCCAGGCACACTTGTAAGGATGGGCTAAACAGCTCATCCCATATGATTTTTACATGTCTTAGAACTGATATATGGAAGTGGGGGACTGCTTTAATGTGTTGTCACAACCATCTTAGTCTGAAGAGAATATTCCTTAGGTCCGTGATGCTCTTTATTATTTCCCCAAATGATACTTACAGCAGGACCTTGGCTACCCTGAGAGCCACGAATGCCAGCAGGTCCGACTGTACCAGGTTGCCCAGTGCGACCATCTTTGCCAGCAGGGCCAGAAGGACCAGCAGGACCCTAGGGAAGAAGGACACCAAGTCTGAGTGAGTCAGTGAAAATCCCCCAAGGAAGCAGAGGCCTGGGGGCTCACTGCCTGCCATCAGCTCGATTTCAGAGACAAATGTCTCTGAGGTTGACTTACCCTAGGACCAGCAGGACCCACAGAACCAGGTGCACCTTGATCGCCATGTTGACCCTTGAGAGAGAGAAAACCAGAAAATCACACTTTCAGAACATGTGCTGATAAGTAGATTTGTTTTTAAAATTGAATGGGAAACTTTAGTTTCAATGGACTCTGGATTGAGAAAATTGAAAATGTAAAATGGGGCTCTTTTCTCCCATTATGTCTATTATATTCAATTATATTTTTTTCTACAAGCTATTTCAGCAGTGCAATATTAGTCATTCCTCTAATTATATTTATTTTAAGTGGGGTTGAAGGACATTGTTGCCAGGAGATTTTAATATATGTATATTTCGATCTCCCTTAACCCTCACCTTTTTGTGTTGGGATGAAATAGCGTTATCTCTGTAAGATGGAGTCAGCCAGAGAATGGGAAATGAGTATGATGTAGGACATTTTAGAACAAGGGCAGTGAAAATTTGAGGAAGATCATTTTATTTTTTTTTTTTTAAATTTTTTTTTTTAATTTATTTATGATAGGCACACACAGAGAGAGAGAGAGAGAGGCAGAGACACAGGCAGAGGGAGAAGCAGGCTCCATGCACCGGGAGCCCGACGTGGGATTCGATCCCGGGTCTCCAGGATCGCGCCCTGGGCCAAAGGCAGGCGCCAAACCGCTGCACCACCCAGGGATCCCCGAGGAAGATCATTTTAGATCTGTATACATGCCAGATGTCCACGCTTTACTTACAGCAAGACCAGGAAGACCTTGCAGTCCATTGTGTCCCTTTAAGCCAGGAAGACCTCTGGGCCCCTTCTCACCAGGCTCTCCCTTATCACCTCGAATACCTTGTGGGCCCTGTAAAGAAAAAGGAGGACACATAGGGCATTTGCCTTCCTTTGAAAATGGTGCCCACTTCCCCACAAATACTGCTTAATCTGTTTACAGAGCTGACTTGAGACAAGCAAAGGTTTAAAAGCCATGTGGGTACTACCTCTATCTATTCCCCTAACCTGCTTTAGTTGAACTCCGTATTGTGGCTAGATTCTTGTGCTTATTTCATACACATGAAAAGAAGAGATTTGAAATAGAAGAGACTTAGAAGCCTTTGTAGCAATTCTCAATATGGACCACATTTTTTTTAAACAATATGAAGTCTAGCCTAGACTGGACTGAGTCTTCTTAAAAGTTAATTTGTGAAGAAATCACCATGTACGTACACTAGGACCTCTTGGACCAACAGCGCCGACGGGACCAACAGAACCAGCAGGACCCTGCACATTGGAGAAGCAAACCGGTACTGGTCAGCCATGGCCAAGCCCCCCTTCTCCCCAAGCCCCCGCAGTGCCCCAGTGTGGGGAGGTCAGAAGTGAAGCCTACAAAGATGCCAGCATTAAAAGACTGGTATTAACAAACTTACAGGTTCACCACGGTTTCCGTGTTTGCCAGTGGGACCCACAGGGCCATGAGGACCAGGTGCACCCACAGCGCCAACGGGACCAATGTTGCCAGGGTAACCACGCTCTCCCTACCAAAGGCAAAGTGAAGTTTCACATCAAACTGGCCTATATTTTAGTCACTTTTTAATTGGAGAAAGACAAAGAGGTGTCCTGACCTTGTGTCCGGCTTGACCATCGCGGCCTGGGGGACCATCATTCCCAGGGTTGCCCTGTGAAGATACCACACCAGTTAAGGCATTCGGGGAGGCTCTTCACCTCACCTCACCTCCTCTGCTTTACCATCCCCAGGCTCAGTAGTGAATCCCCTGTCAGACTGTCAAAAGATAGTAGGAATAAGAACCTGCCAACCTCATTTTTGTAGACATGTTTTTAATATTTTGGCCAACTTTACTATTTGGTATACTATTTAAAGAGCCATCCCCCAGCCCAAATGAGTTTTCATATTTTCAATAGCAGGAGTGGCCAGTACATGCCAATGTTATGGAGAAACAGACCATCTCATTCAGACACTTGGAACAAGAGGAACTCTGCTCAGGATATGAAGTTGCACACAATGGAATTCGGCTCTGTTCTATTATACAAACCAAGTGTTAGACTCACATCACGACCAGCTTCACCAGGAGCACCGTTGACTCCAGGCGCACCCACAGCTCCAGGAGGACCACGAGCCCCAGGTGGACCAGCAATGCCAAGAGGTCCGGGTTCACCCTAGAGGCAGAGAAAATTAAACAACACTCCTCCCACTGGATTGAGTGCAAATATCACTTTCCCCAAAATGACCCTGGCTAGGAGATTCCAGTTTGAAAAGAGAAAGTGCAGTGAAAGTGAATGGACCACAAAATGGCAAGAAGTATCATTGGTGTTATCCTGACCCTCATCCTACATGGTCAGATAGCCAGCTTTAGGCAGTTTTGGAATGTCACTCTACTAGGTGAGCCTAGTTGCATCTGATATCCCAAATGAAACAAAATCATAAAGTTGAGAGAGTTTATGGAGATGAGATGATTCCTAGTTGCTGTCATGTATAAGATTTAATGGAATGATTCAGAACTTCCAGAGCTTCATTCTTCCTACAGGATAAATGATGCCAGCATTTCATACTGCAGAGGAGTAAATGCAATTAGAGCTTATATAGTTCTTAAGCATGTAAAAAGAACAAAAATCTTTCTGCATAATGTTAAGCTGGATCTTTATAGCGTGTGTCTAAGTAAGGTGGTATTAAAGCTTCTTAGATAAGTGACATGTGATCTGTATAAAGAAAATGCCATGAATAAAAAATCTTAAGTGGAGTTATTCAGTGATCAATCTGTCACATCTGAAGTGGCAGCTTTTAAAATCTTTTATTATGTTAATGAGCAGAAGAATGGTGTCAAACACTTACCAGGGATCCAGCAACACCTGGTAGACCACGCTCACCCCGAGAGCCTGGGAGACCCAGAATGCCAGGAGCACCAAGGAGACCTTGAGCACCTGGTGAGCCAGGAGGTCCCTGAACAAGAGGAAAAATAATATTACTGGGTAAGCCCCTAGATGATAATACAGGCTGGCTTGATGATTGTAAGAATAAGCTATTCTCAGTTTAGAAAAAGCCTAGTGACCTTCTTTTAGGAAGATATATCCTTGGATATCTTGTCTCCAGTAATGACAATTACAGCTTGGCAAGTATATTTCATTATACCCGGTTCCTCCTAGAGACCAGTTGAACAACACTGGACAATATGTGGTTGAGATTAATGAAATGCAATAGAGTTTTTATAGAATTTATGCCAAGAAGCAAATTTTGACTTTGGCCTCTAACCGAGCTAGGTCTAGTAAAGGCACATTGCAGAGTAACAATAATGCTGGACAGTGCATATTTAAGAAATTGGTAGTTTCCTGAGACTGATTCACTTTCAATAGGAGGGCCATGGCCATGGGATTCTTTTCTAATCCCAGGACCAATAAGGTGCCTTTCTGATAAAACACTGAGTTCCTTCATTTATTGCCATCCTTATCTAGTGCCTTCTAAGCAACTGCTGAAGCTGTGACACCTCAGTAGCTGCTGGACAGATTTCTTGGCCAACTGAGCTCTACTTGAAAGCCTGCAATACTTATCAACAGATATATGCCACTTGAAGATCTGCGTAAAGGCTTTATTTTAATTTGCTATAAGGTATTAAGAAAGAGGAGCTTGAAATCACTTACAGCGGTACCAGGCTCTCCAGAGGGACCCTTCTCACCAGTAAAGCCAGGGGGACCAGATGCACCTGTTTCTCCCGTTCGGCCAACTGGACCTTGGTCACCTCGAGGCCCACGGAGTCCTTCTTTACCAGCAGCACCAGGGGGACCAGGAGGGCCAGTGATACCCTGGGAGCAAATGACAGAGTCATTTATTGTCTGTTAGTCATTACAGACTTGGGGATAAAGCAGCTGAGGCTCTAGAGATGAAGATGCAAACAGTGCGAAGCAATGAAATGACATCCTGGTGATTTGAGGGGACCTATTTAGACCTTGTCACATTCCTTCTAATGGAGAGAAGCAACAGCTGTCCTCATTCTCCTGAAGCTGTAATAACATGACTAACTGAGGCTGAGGCTATGGTAAATGTCTGTGAGGAGAGGAAAGGCTGTGCTCCCGGGACCCTGGCATCTTGGAATTCGAACTATGGTGAGGAGAGTTAGTTGTATATGAATGGGACTTTGGGCTTGGGAGGACTCTGGCTCATCCCTTTTTGAAGAAAGCCAATACTGGCATTTTGTTCATAGTTGAGGAATTACATATGCTCTCAACTAGGTTTAATTAAATGCCTACAGGGAATGAAGATTTTTCTGTTATGAACCTGTAAAAGGATTCCAAGAAATCAACATCTTTGCTATTTTTTTTCCCTGAAACCTTAACCGGAAGACTTAATCCTTAGTAATTAATTAAATTCTCTTGAGTCCTGACAGGAGAGTCTGAATCAGAATTGAATTAGAGGCCAAACCACCTTTAAATTCAGGAACAATTATACCTTAACAACGGAGGCAGAATGTTGGCCATAAAGGGTAATTAGATATAGAAATATCTGATATGTGACTAAAACTGTTCTGTTTTTTATTTTTAACAAAGAGACCATGCCCCAAAAGGGGACTTGTGTTCACATGAATAAAAGCCTCTTATGCTGATCTTATAAAATATAATTTGTGATGATTCTGCCTTAATGGTTCAGGAAAATTGATTTCAGACCAGGAAAGTAATAGCAAAATATTAGTAGGATGTTTCCAAGAGAGTTTCCTACCAGCTTCCTACTAGAGGCAAAGGCCTATTGGGTAGAGTAAATGACAGATTTTGAAATGATTTACTTACAGAGGGTCCAGGAGGACCAGTCCGCCCAGCAGCACCAGGGAAACCAGTAGCACCCTAAGAATCAAGCACATTAAAATTCCACAATCAGTGCCAACTCTAGGGATTTGGGTGAGATGGAAATTTCTCCTTCAGCCAATCCTCAATACACATGACTGAGGATGGACCACGGAGTAGGCAGGGGCAGCCTCATACAGGGTGTTTTGTAACAAGGACCCCGAAGACCCTAGATCTCTGTACATGCATATTTTGCATAAAGGCTCTGATGTTCTGGTTTGAAATGCTATTTGTCAGCATGATGGTTCTAAGAACAAGATAGTAGGACACGAGGCTCTTATTACACATTGATGTGTATTCATTAATAAGTACCTTAACCACCTGGCTGGGCATGAAGGAAATGGACACTGGATAAGTACTTAGTTTACAGAGGAGGGTACAACAGAAGACCAAGAGTATTAATTGCTGTCTGAGGAGAGCAGGAAGAAGTCAGTGCAGTTCATTCCTAGGGAGGTCTGGGTCTTTAAGGAGTCAGTGTAACAGCACTGGGTGCCAAGAGAAGGGGCATGGTTGGGCAGAAGAAGGGGGGGCACATCAGCAAAAGGATAAAGGGTACCAGAGAGATTATTTTTACCCATTTCACAACTAACCAACCCAGGGTTAACTTTGGTTATGACTTCAGGTAAGGTGGTAGCAACCGACACTGCACTGAGTTCCAGTTGGGATTAAGTTAATATCCCATGACCTAATGGTAACTTCAATATCAGAATTTCTCTGAAAAACATGAACTTGGATCTGAAGAGTATCCTTGTTAAAGTTTAGGATTAACCCCAAACCTCCAAGCTTTCAAGTTGTTTTCAATAAGATTCTAAAGAAAGCAATGTTAGCAGGGTCCATTATAAATACTCACAGGGGGGCCACCATCACCACGACTTCCAGCAGGACCAGGGGGACCATTTGG